TACTTCAGCTCCCCTGAGAATAAATTATGTAAGCTTGTACCATGAGAGATGTTACCCGGTCAGCATACTTAGCAGTAGGAGCTCCGTCATGAGGATTGTGTCTGCTAGCTCAGGTCACTTATGCTTTAACACATCACTGTCTCTTCTCTTCCCTCCTGCAGCCCTGGGCATGTACACAGTTTAGGTAACATGGCTTATGGCACATGGTCTGCAGGGCTCTGGGGCACATGGGAGAATGCTGGCACAGAGTGATGGCTAGTGAAGTATTGAGCCTTTTTTTTTCCTGTTGCATTTTAAAATTAAATAGTCATTTAGATTCCCCAAAGTTTAACACAACTTTTTACTGTTGGTTGGCATGCAGGTGTTGTACCTGAATACTAACAGAGCAGTGACAATGACGTGCTAGTGGCTTTTTCTGGTATGGAGGGATAGTGGGGAATGGGGCTTTTTGAAGTCAACCCAGTAAATCTCTTCTGTTCAGGACACGATTAATCTTAAAATGCTCTGAAGCGTATGATTAAGTCAAATGGACTACAGATTTTTTTTAATATCCAGGACAGATGTGTTTAAGTAATGATAGTTACTTAATTATCCAAGTGAACAACAGCATCTCACTGTGATACAATAAAGGTCTTGGCAGTGGAGATGAACATAAAAGTTCTTTTTTTCCCAATTACATAATTCCAATAATAATCAATATTTTTTTACTAATAGCTTGGAAAGTTAGGAAGATTATTCTTTTTGTCCTTTTTACATTTTCTGTCCAGAGCTGCTCTTTTTCACCTGTTGAGAATAGGTGATATAATCTGACACAGAAATACCTGAAATGTCACAGGTTGAGTGCGTTATGAGGAATGAGTTTAAAAAAAGAAAAAAGAAAAAAAATAAATTGCTCTCAAATGCCATTTCCTTCATCTTTAGAAATAAACATGAAATATTTAACTTTACATCAAATAGAGATTTCAGCTCGTCAGGTTGTTTGAAATCTTCCTAAAACTTAGGAGTGATGCAATGAAACAAAATATAATAATACCAAAGAGAGAATCTGGTTTCAGGACATATTTTTAATAGGAATTTTGCTGCAGTTGCTTATGCACAATTTAGTAGACCTTTTTCCCTATTCTCTTCATTTCCACTACAGATAATAATTTTGGGACATTAATACCCAGTTGTATTTTTGTCTTAGCTTTTGAAATAATAGGAAACTTTACAGGAAGGGACCTCAAAAGAATATTTACTCCTTGATTTATCGTTTGCTTATAACTGAGGAATCACTTAGTTTTTTGGAAAAGCTTGCATTATTGCTATTGTCCGATGGGAGAACTAAGAAAATACCTTAGGTAAACAAAATATTAAACCCTCTAATTTTTAAAGTCTTGAATTACACCGAGTTGCATTAAATTGTCTTTAATTATAGCAGAAATTATTAAAAAGCACTGATGTTCTCCTTGGATTTGCATCTTTCAAAAGGACAGGTATCAATGGCAGTTAGGGATTTGGAATTAATTCTCACGTCTCGCAGACTGCAGTGGACTTTGGCATGTAGGTTGAGTAACACTAGAGACTATCTCAACTACAGTCAACTCTAATCAGATGAAGGGAAAGCTTTATAACACAATGAATGTAAAAATATATGCTGTGTGTCTGTCTAGTATATATATAAGATATATTTGTGAGTTAGGCTGGAAGACCATAATACTTTCATGTGTGAAAAATATGTCAATTTTTTTCTTTAAAAAGCAGAGTTAGGATGTGACTTGGTGCAGTTACCATGAGTTCTGCGTTACATACTGCAGCATTTATGTATTGACAGACCTTTTTTTCTTCCATTAAGGTACATCTTGGGTAACCTAACAAATGATAGCTATTTGTCTACCTGTCCTTGAAAACCTCCAGCGATTCTATAGGTTCTCTATGCAGTTTTTAACTGTATGTAACAGTTAAGCGAGAGATGAAGGAAAAAAAAAAAGCCATTTTCCTGCTGCAATTAAAACCTATTGCCTCTTGCTCTGTACTTAGTGAATATTAAGAGCAATTATTGTATTTTTATTTTGGTTAATTGTATGCATTTGGAAATTGTCCCCCATCTTTTTGAAGATAAATAAGTCCAATTCTCACAGTGTTTTTCTTACATGCCATCTCATTAATATCTCATCATTTTTTCTCGTCTCCTCTGAATTCATTCTAGTTATTCAGTGTATTTTTTTTAAATGTGGGTCCCAAATACAGACACTACAATTAAGCTTGATTTTCATTAGTGCTCAGTAGTACAGGAAGACTTCTCTATTTTTTCTGTGAAGTCACTGATTAAACATTCAAGTGTGCTAGTTTGCTGAATTGCTTTTATAATAGAATGGCATTTTGTCCGTTTCTGGTTTGAGAATCACAAATTAGAGGCACATGTGAGTGCTGGGATACACACACACACATTTTCTTCTACTGATCTTGTTATCTTTTAGGTGCTTGTAGGCAGGTTTATTTATTTATGCTCAAATAATTTGTGGAAAATGAAGGCTGTCTGGCTAATAGCTTTGACTTTTTATCCTTTGTAAAGATACGTACTACACTTTGTTTTCCATTCCCTGGAACTTTACCATTTCCTCTGTGACTTCTGAGAAATTAATACTAGTAACTCGTGGCTGCTGCTAATTTCTAAAATACTCCAGTGTTTTTCATCAGGCTCACTTAGTTTGAAAGCATCTACTGCATTCAAGAATATCTAAAATAACACGAAGTTGTCTCAATAGTAGTATTCTGTTTTTCAGTGATTGAGGAGCCCAATGTTAATTAATATTAAGATTATTTTTTATATAGTTAACGTATTGAAAGAAAAAGAGAATGGACGTACATTCCTAGACCTTATACTTATTTTAGTAGAAATTTCAAATCAAAATAGCTAGCTAATTGTAAGGAGGTATTTACATCTGTTCCCCATAGGGAAAAGCTTCTCTGTCATGCATACATTTGAAATTTAACATGCTAAATCATTGGCTGTCTTTGCATGCTAAGAAGTTAGAGTCATTTCCTGGTGATCCGATATCACTCTCACATATCGGTCTAGCAGCTCTTGATTTACATTCTAATGCTTCATCTGTCATAACCCACACATCAGAACTGACCTCCAGGCTTATGGCAACATTTGGAAATTTGCAATTTTTTTTCTTCTCTAGATGAGTAATTCAGCCTCTGACACAGATGCAGAAACTTCCTTTAAAAAAAATATTAAGGGAGCTACTGTAAATGTTTTTTCTGATGCCAACTGGGAGTTCAATAGCATCCATTTGTACCACAGAAGGTTATTAAAGCTTTATAAATGAGTCATTTAAAGCTTGACTGACCTCTCTTCAGAATCCTTCTTTTCCCATTCTTTATAATTATATTCTTTCTGTATAAAACTTGTCATCATTAACCAACTATATAACTTCCAATTAGGAAGCAAATACTGGTCCCCCATTCTTTTTCAAGATACAGTTTTATTAAGATCTGTTCAGTGAAAGGGAAGGTTTTCTTTGTGTGGTAGTGAAAAGCCTACGGAGTGCATCAAATTTGGTTTAAATTTGTTAGAATCCTAATAAGCAGAACCTGATCTTCAAGCTGAAGGTCTGCAGAGAGATTTATCTTGATAAAATAAATTCATAGGAGGCCCTTAGCTCTCTCCTGAACAACTGCAATTCAGATGGAACAGAAGAAATTTAATTAAATTATCAGCTCATCTCAAAGCAAGGGGTTTTGCTTTTTTAATTTTCTTTCTTGATCTTATCAAGAAAATTAATGAATAAGAAAGCAGTGGGACTACCTAGACAACGGATGTAATATGCCTCTTGGTTAAGCTATTCCTGTATCTTAAGCAGAAACTGGAAATTCATCTTTTGGGCTACAGATGTAGAGAGAATTGCCTGTATCAGAATTTTGTGTTGGACACTGAATTATGTTGGCATAATATTACAGAAAAATTCCAATTCCCCGTCTGAGTGGGACTATGCATGCATCTTTCTGTTGGACATACTAAGCTGAATTTTTTAGTCATGCAGAATTGCCTCAACCCTTGATGTAGAAGAACTTGGTTATATCAGACAGGTTTCAGACATGGGTGGAAGGTTTTCACTTGCCTGTTTGTTCTGAGGTGTGAATTCTCTCCCCCATGATAAAGTCACAATCTGGTACAACTTTTCCTGTGCTGTAACAGCTATCAGCAGATTAACAACTTAGTTGTGACTGTAATGAAGTCAGCAGCCAACGTACACTACTCCACTCTGTCAAGGCAAAGTCACTTCTATTCTTCTGTCTACTGCCTTGAAGTCCAAGAGTTTTCCTGTCTATCTTAGACCTACTTCTTTGATGAATTGTTTATTTGCCATATCAAATCACCTTTCAGAACATTTGGTGAACATCATCTAACACCTGCAGGATAGATGGCATCAGTGATCACTCCTGTAAGTCTTTGCTCTCTGATGGTACTGATTTTTCTGTCCTTCACAAGTAATTTTTACCAGTATTGTTGTTCATGGTTTTCTTTTGTCAACTGAGCTTTGCTTGTGTCAGATTCAAAATTATACTGGGTGATTTTCAAGGTAAATGGCACAGGAAACCTGGGAAATTTTATAGGACCATACTAGCTGAAATATTGCATCCTCAGCCTAACTGCTTTTGAAAGTTGAGCATCATTGCTTTTGAATCAGATTCCAGGATTATATTTTAGGAAGAAATGTGGTGGGGCAGGAGCTCTCTATTATATTAGTGTTAAATAATACCTAGTGAAAGAAGACTGTGGTTTTAATTTCTTAGCACAAAGAGGTGAGATGAAAATGATAAGTTGAAGTTGACAACTTAAAAGAAAAATAAATACCTTTTAGACAACAGAATTGGTGGTTGTTAAGGTTCTTGTATTGCACTTGTAAGAGGTTTGCAGAGTAGCTGCAGTTTTACGTTGCTGTTACCAAGAAGCAAGTAACAGCTTGAGAAGTATGAAATGGTGCATTCCTTCTTTCTCTCTTTTGCAGAGAGGAGTCAGGATAGCACTGCAGCGGTGCTGTCTGACTCCAGTTCCACACAGGATATGTTTAATGAGCCTGTGAGTTCTCAAGACAGCCTGAGGAAGACTTACACAGAGAAGAGGGTTTCTACTACCTGTGCTGATACACTGATTTCCAGCAAAGAGACCCTGGGACCTACAGAGGAAAAGGGTATGACTGATTTAATAGATAAAGTCAGCTGGTATATTCTCATTAGAATGTTTCTTCTGGCATGCAGAAGCATTGAAATATGCTGGACTGTGACTGTGAATTTTAACTAGGTGCTACTGCTGCATGTGTATGTGTAGTTTAAAATTGAAACTGTGCTTTGCTTATGTGCCCATCATCCCAATTTGTACTACCTGTTAAACCTTACAAAGAAAAGAATAATGATGAGCTGTCTGTGTTGAATCTTTGACTGGTTTGCCTTCTTTTAGGTTATTATTTACTCTTTCTTCAGTGTTTTGAACCTTTAAATAATTTAAGGAGTAGATGTATGAAGATAATCTCAAAGAAAACATTTTTTCTTTTCCCCTGGTATAGATGCCTTTTTGTTGTGGCCCAGTAGCAGCTTGATATTCAGTACACAGAAGAGCTCAAGCAGTGGAATTTGATGTTTTATTCCAATGGATACTTTGTTTCAGTGGAGAAGTGGAATTGCTCTCTACCAAATTTTTCCACATATAATAGTACTAAGTGTTCTGTATTCCACTGGAAAAATTGTTTCAGAATCCATTAGCTGGAGTTTCCATTTGTCTGATGTTTGTACAGTTGGATGTGGCAGCAGATAGAGAGGCTGGGTTTTGG